ATTTGCCTGTAGTAAATCAACCCCATTGAAAATGTTCTTTCCTGCAACTATTTAAAGCTGATCTGTAGTCCACAAATCATTTTTATTTATATTTTCCTGTGCATTTTAAAACTTTGTGTTTTAAATCATTGGCATCCGTTATTCACAGCCCAGAAAGGACAATAGGAGAATGTCCGTGACCACTGTGTGCACCAGCACCTGAGATAAAAACAGTGCAGTCACCAGCACAGCCATCTCACATCCAAAGAGATGTTGGGGGTTATTTATTAAAGCTGGAGAGTGCAAAATCTGGTGAAGCTCTGCAGAGAAACCAATCAGCTTCCCGGTTTTATTTCAAAGGTTAACTGAATAGGCTGAAGTTCGAAGTTGATTGGCTACCATGCACAGCTGCACCAGATTATCAGTGCACCAATTTTAGTTAATCCCCCCCCATTATATTTATAGACCATGTAGGGGGGCAGGCCATCAAGAAAGTATATTTGAATCACTCTGCAGACCTGTCCCTGATACTCTGCAGCCAGACAGCTTGAAAGAAGCCAACTCTTGAAAAGAAATTGAAGCCACAACCATTAGTTTTCTTTTAGTTTTGCCAATATATATTTAAAACTTTCTTTCTTTAGTAAGCATTTTTGTGATATGTGAGCTTTTACGAGTGCTTCATAAGCCACATTCCTTGTTACAGTTCCGTTATAGTGTAGGTTTGTACATACCTCAGTTGAACTTGAGACTTCGACAGTAGCTGACAGTTTCTGATCATATGAAACTGTCAAATATTTATTCTTGAGGACAATATTTTGCCCCACCAAGTCAATGCTGTATTCGTCGTATTTTTCATGATTTCGATGTCTGTCAGTCTCTTCTACCTGTCCTTCGTATATTTCAATAATTGTACTCTGATAAAAAAAAAGACATAGATGACTAATAGGAAGTTTATTGTTACTTATCAGAATTAAATTCAATTCGAAATTAACCCTGTAAAGTAACAACATTAGCAAAGTACCCCTGAAGTTTTGCATCCTGCACCCTAAGGTACCCACATGTAGTGACACAGTGCTACTCAAAGCACCACATCAGTCCTCGCTATAATTCCTATGCCAATATGTATTATTACTATACAGGATTTAAACACTATAGTGCCAACAGTTTGTACAAAGCTTTAAAATATAAAGGGAGACAGTACAGTTACAATACAATAAAATTACAAGAGCTAACACAATCTAATAAGCCCTTGGTTTTCTTGTAAGCATATCCCCAGAGCGCTCTGCAGCATCCCTTTATACGACCGTTGCTGGAAGCTTGCCCTGCGGTACAGGGAACCCTCTCTGTCCCAACTGGGGTTGTGGCCCATGACTCCTCTGCGTCTTAATCCGGCCTTCCCTCCAGGAATGTCATGGTCATATTTACTGCAGTTTTGGCCACACCGTGATGTTCGGGCCTTGCATTTCCTTTGCAGAGGCAAGTTCCTGTCCCTGAACGCGCTCAATAGCTCCCTCACCCCACATGCGTTAGACTTTGGCCTTATACACAAATCTGATATTTCCTCTTTCTCAAGGAGCGAATACCCCCCTGGTCTCGACCTCTTATGCTGTTGGAAGCTCTTTGTAATAAAACACAGCCTCAGAGACATGTCATCTCTACTCTATATTCCCTTCTCTTCAGCGCGGACCCCGCTCACAGGGTCCAGTTCTTGCATTGCCTGGGAATGGGACTTGGGGGTTTCCTTTTCACTCGAACATTGGGATTCAATCTGCTCGCTCATACACAAGTGTACCATGAATGTGTCCGCCCAAGAATGCAGCTATAAAATCTTTTCACAATGGTATAGGACCTCCTCTATTTTCCAGAAATTTCTCCCCACGATCTCTGATCGATGTTGGAGTTGTGGAGTGGATGAGGGGTCGTTGCTTCATGTGTTGTGGTTGTGTTCCAGGTTACAACCGTTCTGGGAGCAAATACTCTGCTTAATTACCGAAATTACAAGCCTGTGGATGGAGTTTTCCCCCGCACAATACCTGCTTCACCATAGTTCCATCCCCAGGAAATTGTTCTGCCACTTTTTGGCCATGTTTATATCCCTGGCCACCAGACAATGCATTCCTTGCCACTGGTGCTCGATACATCCGCCGACGTTAGAGGAAATGGTGCCATAGACTGAATAGGATGGAGGAGTTTGGAAGAGCTGATTGCGATCTCCAAGGAGAATCTATCTAAGCATTCTGTGGTCTGGTATGAGTGGTCCCAATTTTTAAGCAAACATTGAGCTATCAGGCCCTCCTCTCTCACAGCCCTAGACCTTCCCCTGTTCCTGGTTGTTAACAGCTGTGTGTACTATGGTTTATTCTTGATGGCTCCCTCCTTGATTAAGTTTGTCTCCACTAGGAGGGGGATGGGAGATCCCTTACTTTTGCTGTTCTTGCCCATCTTCTATTGCTTTCACTCTCTGCTTCTGTATTCTTTCCTCTCTCCTTGTTCTCTTTGTCTATTTTTCCACTATATTGTTCATATCAGACGCCCTGATTTAGATTCTGGTATAGGTTTGGCCCTGGCTGGGCACTGATGGGACGTTCTTATAGATCCCTCATCGAAGTATTTTCACTTATCTGTTGTTATTGATTACTACCTGATTCTGGGTCATATGTATACTCAGTTTCCTGTTTATGTTAGGCGGCTGCTATTTTACCCCGTGCTCAGAGATTGTTTATATTACTTTATATTGTACCCGATAATTCCTGTAATATTGTTGTCTTTTAATAAACGATTATGGAAGAAAAAAAAAACATTGTTGTCTTTCAATAAGCGATTATGGAAGAAAAAAAAAACAATCTAATAGGGTGGGGCAAGTGGTACCAAAGGTTATAATTGTGGTGGATAAGCTGATAAAAATTTAGTTGGAGGTGTGATTATTATTAGTATTATACAGGATGTATATAGCGACAACAGTTTATGCAGCGCTTTACAATATATAGGGGACAATACAATTACAATACAGTTCAATACAGAAGGAAAAGGAGGGTTCTACCCATAGAGCTTACAATCTGAAGGAAAGGGAGGTAATACAAAAGGCGACAGCTGCGGAGTATGATCTGGTGGAAGTGATTCAAGTACAGTTCTTCTGTGGAGGTGAGTTAGCTTCCCTGAATAAGTGAGTTTTAAAAGATCGCCTAAAGGGGGACAGGGTGGGGGCTGACTGGACATACTGGGGTAGGGAGTTCCAGAGGATGGGAGAGGTTCTGGAGAATTTCACCATTACATGTTGCGCTCCTTAATAACAAAAATGTGATTCCTCTTAAATTAAAAAACAATATACATAAATAACCAATTTGAAAAAATATTTAAAAATATTATTATATATCAACAAACCAATTTAATATAATTAATAGTCCCATCAATCAAAATAAAAGTCCAATAATAGTGACATAGTAATTGTTACTCTTCAATTTGTGACTTTTTGTGAATCCTCTAATTAGTGAAGATGTATGCTCACCTCCTTTGATGCCTACAATTAGGCTATACACACTTGTGGTTCACCTTCCTCGGAACCTGCCAGAATTAGCTCTTTATGGATAGATTGAAGGGTCCTTCCCTTTGGATATAATGCAGATATCGTCTGTGGATTAACTATCCCTGCAAAAGAAAGTGGGATTAATCCCTCCTTCAGCTGTGATAAACCACTCATTATATCATAAAGAGCTTTGCCCGGCCATCCGGAATCATGTAACTTGCTGTTCTGCCGAGTGATCCGATTCCCTTCCGATGTTGATGTCGTATGTCTATTTACCCTCTTTATAAATTTTTAAATGTGAGTGTGCGTTTCTCCGCATGTAAAAAGAAAGTGAAGACATAGTGAAGGAGGGATTAATCTGCTTATCCTTTAAAACACCCTTTTTATTCCCACCATTCCAGTAATGCACTCACATTTAAAAAAAAGTTTCAAAGATCAGGGAGGAGGAAATATTTACAAGCTCGGTATTAGAAAGATTGAGTTTTTGTTAGGAAGTGGTGAAGATATTTATGTTTGACAGCAGTTTGACGTGTGACATCCATAATGATATGTCGCTCATTAGATTTGTTATACCTGTGAGGAGACACGAGGGGTGAGCTGCGAGCGGAGAGATAGATCTGGGTGTTGTCAGTGTAGAGGGTGGTATTAGAAGCCATGGGAGGTTATCAGTTGGCCCAGGAAGGAGGTGTAGAGAGAGAAAAGGAAGGGCCCAAGGACAGAGTGATAGGCTTCCTTGAAGAAATAAAGGAGCAAGATGGAGGAATTAGCAGGAGCAACGTATTTGTAGTTTTCAAGGATCACCTAAATGCAGCCAGAGTAGGGGGTTATTGTTATAGCCAGAAAGATTGAGGAAGGAGAGAGTTCCAGAGGATGTGAGAGGTTTAGATTTGTTATACGTGGAGAACCGAGGGTCCTGGAGACGAGCATGGGAGGAGGAGACAACAGAGATTGAGAGCAGGAAGTCTTAAGAGGAGCAGAGGGGATAGCCACAGTTTGGGTAAAATCTGGAGACAAAATTGGTGATGTAGTTTGGGGCAGACAGAGTTGTAAAATATGGCTTTGCATGTTGTTATTAGTATTTTGAATTTAATTCACTGGGCAATCAGAAGCCAGTGGAGGGATTTGTCAGAATTGAAAGACTCTTGGCTGGCTACAAAAAGCATTTACAAGCTGTGATACTTGCCAAAGGGGGCAGTACACAATATTAACTCTGCAGGGTGCCCAAACTTTTGCAGATGCCATTTTTTTTGTTTTCTGTTATTTTGAAAGTGTAAATGATGGAAATAAAATCTAACTTTTGTTGACATATTATAAGAATGTCTAATCTGTAATTTGATGCCTTTTGGAGATTTTTCCATCTTTCCTTGGCTTCTTTATGCACATTAATACAACTTTTTAGCTGGGGTGCCCAAACTTTCGATCCCCACTGTAAGTCTTATTTTTATATATACCACAGAAGTCCAGTCTGCATATATATCAGAGACATCACATAAGGAAGATGTTATATCCCTGTTCTAAGTGCGGGAAAATGTTTTCTCAGACAAAACTAGACTTTACATATATCAGAGATCTAACACAGGTGAAAAGCCATATGTCTGTCCTGAGTGCGGGAAATACTTTTCAGTGAAGCTTAGTCTTCACACACATCAGAGATCTTACACGGGGGAGAAGTTGCATACCTGTCCAGAGTGTGGGAAATGTTTTTCATGTAAGTCCTATTTTGGTAACACAAGAGGGAGCAGCCATACCCTTGTTCAGAGTGCGGAAATTGTTTTTCACAGACGTCCAGCCTGCATATATATCAGAGACCTCACATGAGGAAGATGCTATATCCTTGTTCTAAGTGCGGGAAATGTTTTCTCAAATAAGTCTAGACTTTATATATATCAGAGATCTTACACAGGTGAAAAGCCTGTCCTGAGTGCGGGAAATACTTTTCAGTGTAGCCCAGTCTTCACACACATCAGTGATCTTACAGGGAGGAGAAGTTGTATACCTGTTTGGAATGCGGGAAATATTTTTCAGAGAAGCCCTTTTCTTCATATATGACAGAGATCTCATACGGGGGAAAAAGTCGTATTGGGGGACAAGAGGGGTACTGAGATTAATATATTGCATGGGAACTGAACTGTATGTATTGAACTATATGTTTAACCGCTTGCCGCCCTGCCACTGTATATATACGTGTGCAGGGCAGCACTGGGACGCAAAACCACGTTTTAAAACAAGTTCCGCGCTCCCGACGTTTTAGCCGGGAGGGGGCACGCGCGCGCTCCCACCGACCCGCGGGTGACACCATTCGATCCCGGAGGGATCAATCATTCGATTTCAGCCAGTGATGTCTGGCTGAAATCAGATGATTGGTCCCTGTCCTATCCTGTCCTGTGTTGACATTTACACAGGACAGGATATGATGTCATTCTTCTCTGCCTGGACACATTCCGTTCCAGACAGAGAAGAAGACACAGTAAACATGAGTAAAAACACTACACATTTACAGTTAGAACACACCCAGGTCACATTTAACTCCCTGATCGCCCCCCCCCCCCAGTTAAACCCCTTCACTGCCCTGTCACCAGTGTCACTGATCAGTGAATCAATTTTTACTGATCACTGTATCAGTGTCGCTGGCGACTTCCGATAGTGTTAGCGCCCCCCCCCCCCCCCCCCCCCCCCCCCCCCCCAGTTAACCCCCTTCACTGCCCTGTCACCAGTGTCACTGATCAGTGAATCGATTTTTACTGATCACTGTATCAGTGTCGCTGGCGCCTTCCGATAGTGTTAGCGCCCCTCCCAGATAGCGCCCAGTTTGTCCGCCAGTACACCAGTAATACCGTTTAACCCCTTAATCTCCCCCCCCCCCCAGTTAACCCCTTCACTGCCCTGTCACCAGTGTCACTGATCAGTGAACCGATTTTTATTGATCACTGTATCAGTGTCGCTGGCGACTTCCGATAGTGTTAGCGCCCCTCCCAGATAGCGCCAGATTGCCCGCCAGTACACCAGTAATCCCGTTTAACCCTTTGATTGCCCCCCCCGCCAGTAAACCCCTTCACTGCCCTGTCACCAGTGTCACTGATCAGTGAGCCGATTTTTACTGATCACTGTATCAGTGTCACTGGCGACTTCCGATAGTGTTAGCGCTCCTCCCAGATAGCACCAGTTTGCCGCCTAGTACACCAGTAATACCATTTAACCCCTTAATCTCTCCCCCCCCCCCCCAGTTAACCCCTTTACTGCCCTGTCACCAGTGTCACTGATCAGTGAACCGATTTTTACTGATCACTGTATCAGTGTCGCTGGCGACTTTCCGATAGTGTTTAGCACCCCTCCAGATAGCGCCAGATTGCCTGCCAGTACACCAGTAATCCCGTTTAACCCCTTGATCGCCCCCCCCCCCCCAGTTAACCCCTTCACTGCCCTGTCACCAGTGTCACTGATCAGTGAACCGATTTTTACTGATCACTGTATCAGTGTCGCTGGCGACTTCCGATAGTGTTAGCGCCCCTCCCAGATAGCGCCAGATTGCCCGCCAGTACACCAGTAATCCGTTTAACCCTTTGATTGCCCCCCCCGCCAGTAAACCCCTTCACTGCCCTGTCACCAGTGTCACTGATCAGTGAGCCAATTTTTACTGATCACTGTATCAGTGTCACTGGCGACTTCCGATAGTGTTAGCGCTCCTCCCAGATAGCACCAGTTTGCCCGCTAGTACACCAGTAATACCATTTAACCCCTTAATCTCTCCCCCCCCAGTTAACCCCTTTACTGCCCTGTCACCAGTGTCACTGATCAGTGAACCGATTTTTACTGATCACTGTATCAGTGTCGCTGGCGACTTCCGATAGTGTTAGCACCCCTCCCAGATAGCGCCAGATTGCCCGCCAGTACACCAGTAATCCCGTTTAACCCCTTGATCGCCCCCCCCCAGTTAACCCCTTCACTGCCCTGTCACCAGTGTCACACCGATCAGTGAACCGATTTTTACTGATCACTGTATCAGTGTCACTGGCGACCTTCCGATAGTGTTAGCGCCCCTCCCAGATAGCGCCAGTTTTGCCCGCCAGTACACCAGTAATCCCATTTAACCCTTGATCGCCCCCCACCCCCCATTAACCCCTTCACTGCCCTGTCACCAGTGTCATTGATTACAGTGAACAGATTTTTACTGATCACTGTATTAGTGTCACTGGTTAGTGACTTCCGATAATGTTAGCGCCCCTCCCATATAGCGCCAGTTTGCCCGCTAATGCACGGGATACCCATGGAAGACAACAAATTTTGATGTCAAATCAAAAATAGCCCCCCCCAAACCAGAACTTCGGAAAATTGAAATAGTGCCTGACAGCATGAAAAACAAAGTATCAAAGGAAGGAGGGCCTAAGGCATACCCTCACAGGGAGAAACAGACTCTAGAGAGACAACAGGGAATAAGTGTAAGAGGTGATAAGGAAAACGGCGGGGAATGTTCCAGACTATCCCTGAGAATAGCTAACAGTAGTCAACATATGGAAGAGGAAGTGGATATGGATAAAGTAGAAGAACAAGAGGAGAACTCACAGATGCCTACTAAAGCAGAAATAGCAGAAATGTTTAAAGGACTTGAAAGATCCCTAAAACAGGAGCTGGCGAAATTACACAAAGACCTGGGGCAAATATTTATCAAAGGTAAAGGAGACGGAAGAAAAACTAGATAAACATGCCCAAATAATACAGAAATTAGAAAAAACTGGCGATGGAAATGAGAAAAGAACAAAGAAATCTGTTATATAAATTGGAAGACCAGGAGAATAGGGATAGGAGATGCAATCTAAGGATACAAGGCTTTCCAGAGGTCTCCAAGGAGAAGATTTGATGGGAATAATAACGAGAATGCTGAATACTATAAATGGATAGAACTATAACACAGCCTCTCAAAATGGAGGGAGTATATAGAATTGGAAAATACATACAAGAAGATAGAAAGGAAAAGCCAAGAGATGTAATAGTGCAATTCCATAATTTTCGGGATAAAGAAGAGCTTTGGAAGAAGATAAAAGGAAGAGCAATAATAAAATATGGAGAAATAAATATACAGAACTTTGCTGATTTAGTAGCGAAAACATTAATAAGAAGGAGAACTTTGAAACTGTTATTGAAACAGATGAGAAAACAGAATGTTCGATATAGCTGGGGTTTCCAGCATGTTTGATCTGATGGAGAAATGGACGTTCAGCAAGACTGAGATTCCCGAAGATCTGAGAGACTTTTGTGAGAGACTTGATATACAGAAAATAAATATCCCTGGTTGGGGAGAAGAAGAAGGAGAAATGTGGGCTATGGAAAATGAGGGGAGGCAGGTAGCTCTAAGGATCAATAGAGAGTAGGAATAGTAAAGAGGAATAAGATGGGAGGGAGGGGGGTCTCTCCTTTTTTTTTTCTCTCTCTCTCCTCCATTTCTGCCTCTTATGATTTTTGAAATTTACTAGAGTATGGCAGGTCACTGAGGACGAGACACACTTATTGGGGAAAAATTCATGGTCAGAGTTTCACCTTAAAAGCTGAATCAAAGGTGGGGTTAGGACCACAAATGATTCATAGGCAAAATGTAAGCCTAAAGGGAGGTGGGGGGCGGGGGAAGGGAGAGGGAGAGGAGTGGGAGGGAGGGAGGAGTGGTGGAAGAGGGACGGGAGGGTGGGTGGGTGGTTGGGAGGAGGGTATGGGGTGGGGGGATAGGTAGTTTAAGACTTTCCGAAATAGTGGGAGAAACATCAGTCTGGAGAAATCCTAGAGATCAAAGGGGAAGATGTGGAGGAAAGAGGAAGAGAGAAGAGATGGGGAAGATGGAGGTGTGGAGAGAAGAACGGAAGAGATTCATTTTGTGACTTATAATGTTAAAGGGTTAAATAGCCCTGGGAAGAGATTTGGGATTTTTAAAGAAATTCAACATAGATTTTCTTCAGTGGTTTTTTTACAGGAGACACATTTGGTGCAAGAATCAAATGTGAAAATAAATTCCAGATATTATCCAATGTGGTATTATGCAGATTCCCCAATTAAGCATGCCAAGGGAGTGGCGATAGGTTTTGGCGAAAAGCATAAGGTTTAAGCTGGAAGACAGATTGGTAGATCCGGAAGGGAGATTTCTATTTCTGAAGGGAAAATGACAGGAAATAGACTGTACATTAGCAAATATTTATTGCCCGAATAAGAAACCGGAGGTATTCCTAAAAAAATACTCTGAGGAAGTTAATGGATTTCAAAAAAGGCAATTTAATTGTGGCTGGTGATTTCAATCTCTGCATGGATCCCCGGATGGATATGACGTCCCTTGTGCAGAGAAATGGTAGTAGGTGTCTGAAATCCTTGAAAAAAATGATATACCAATGTCAACTTGTAGATACAGTGGGGCAAAAAAGTATTTAGTTAGCCACCAATTGTGCACGTTCTCCCACTTAACAAGATGAGAGAGGCCTGTAATTGGCATCATAGGTAGACCTCAACTATGAGAGACAAAAGGAGAAATCCAGACAATCACTTGGCTGATTTGGAAAGAATTTATTTGCAAATTATGGTGGAGAATAAGTATTTGGTCAATATCAAAAGTTCATCTCAATACTTTGTTATATATCCTTTGTCGGCAATGAC